CTAGGAGCAGAGCATTTCTAGGAGCAGGGTGTTTCTAGGAGCAATTAATTTTCAGAAGTAGGGTGTTTCTAGGAGCAGAGTGTTTCTAGGAGCAGAGTGTTTCTAGGAGCAGAGTGTTTCTAGGAGCAGAGTGTTTCTAGGAGCAGAGTGTTTCTAGGAACAGAGCGTTTCTAGGAGCAGAGTGTTTCTAGGAGCAGAGTGTTTCTAGGAGCAGAGTGTTTCTAGGAGCAGGATGTTTTCAGGAACGCTGTACTCCTAGAAACACCCTGTCGCTAGAAATGTCCTGCGCTGATCTGAGACACTCAATTTTTCCAAGGTACGCATGAATAGTTAGAGAAGTATCCTTCCGCAAACCCCTGCATATGCCAGCATATTATAGCTACTACACCGAAATCACCCTCACAACCTTATTAGGCCGATTTACTAAATGCCATTTGCCCTTCAGCTCAGCTATTGCCTTTTCGTTTTCCTGACTGTATCCGTCAAGCCTACTTGTCGTTTGTGCTGCAAGTGGATAGGTCAAGGGCACAGCCCCTTCCATAATAGATTTAACTAGAGGATCCACCATTCGACTAGCACTGATGCCTTTGGGGTACGCATGCAATAGGTACGTTAGGAGAATCATTAGTCCTCGGTCTGGTAGCTTCTTAGGATCATTTCTAGAGCTATATTAGAAAACTTAGTAAAAGATATAGTCATAATATGTGTTTCTTACATATGGATCTCTAGAATATGGCTACAAGTCAAAATTATCCCAAATCCAACGTGAGATATCACATATGACCATCTCTTGCCAATTCTCGTATGCCATTTGAGGCTGTTCTCGCGTTTTTGTTTAGCCTGTGTAGTGAGGTTCTTATACTGCGACCCATATATTCTTTCTAAGATGACGGACTTTGCTATGCTAGCTAAACCCTTGCCCGAAGAAAGACGAATAGGTGAGCTAGAGTTATGTCTAAGCTCGATGAGTTTCTGCTCATATTGATGATATAATAGAACCCTTGCCATTCTTAGTTTGATAGGTTCGACTAATGAGTCAGCTGCGATCGTTTCAGCACACTGGAGGCTTTTGAATATCTTTTCTGTCAAGGACATTCCAGTCACTGGGTTGCCGGTGGGAAGACGAGACCATGGATCTTCTGCATCCCAACTACGGCAGAAACTATTGATGAAATCTTTTGCATCTTCTCGCAGAAACGAATCACCAATCTCAACAACATACTGGATCTCTTCGTATGAGGACCTATAGAGGCGGCTCAGCTGGTCGTACGAGTAAAGCCAATGTGTTACTATCGCGTCATCTGGTAAAGTAAACTCAGTCTCCTGTACCGGGCTTGTACTCCAGTTAGACGATAGAACGGATGGAGATACGGAAGGCATCCTTGACTGAGTAGCTAAGTGTAGGGAAGGGACATCATTAAGGATAGGTTCTGGCCCTCTGTCTTCCGCAGTCTCGAAATTCAAGGATTCAGTTACATCTAAAGCAGTTTCTAATCCTTCTATGGCCGTAGATTCTTCCGGTGTTATGTATCGGGGTACGTGTTCTACGCCGTTGCTCCAACACGGCGCCTTTCCGTCAAAAAAAGACGCTCGACTAATTTCGTTATAGAGAGAACTATACTGACTTGCATCAGGTATTCTAGGATAGAACTGGACTCCTTGAGTATCAGGTAGAGAAGTTTCCATTTCTTCGTTCGAGTCCTCACGAAAGGAATGCTCAAATACTAGCTTATGAGGGGAAAGCTTAGCCTGGATATAATCAAGACGTTTGCCCTGTATAGTTGCAAGCAACGTTAAAAACGCCTTGCCTAGATGGATGAACTGATGAGTGTCAGTCAGGCCTGCCTGGACCATAATAGCGTACATCTTCTCCCGTTTCTTCCAACCTAGTCCAACTATGGCTCAGTAGAGCTTCGTTCGCATCAGGACTCTATCAAATATTAGAAAAAATAACTCGAAATGATAAGGGTACATGCTAGGATAAGAGAGCGCATGATATGTAAAAGAATATGGCGTATCACTGCGCGCAATATAGGATAGGGCACTGTGTTTAGGGAAAGACGATATAGGAAACTGTGCAGCGCATCGGGAGGGGTAGGAGAGAAAGATACAAAGTTTATTACCACTCTAACATTACTGACGACAGCAATTTTTAACCTACATACAGTTAATGTCGTTTTGAAAACGACCAATTTCTGTCCCTATATGCTGAAAACGACTAATGGGAGCACAACGGTCATAGATAGGTTGTCGCACGCGTAGATGCGGGGTTGTGAGGCAAGAATAAATGTGCGTATATTTTAATTAACTTTTCCAATGTTCCTCTTATATGTATATGATCGTTACGGTGGTTTATTATATAATTATAATTTCTGCTATGGCTTAGTTGCAATTACTGCCTTCGCATTCTTGCATATACTGCGATAGTCCGCTATAGCTACAACGTTCTGCAATAGCCGCAGACGCATCCTTGCAGCGGCTGCAATAGAAGTCTGTGATCCTTTCAACCCGATTGGTCACTCTTTAGACATAGAGACGGATATTAATTAATATACGGCCACCTCTATAAGTAGCTCAAGCTAACCTGCAAAATACGTGCAACCCAACCCTCAAAGACTTGAAAATCGCGGAACTGCTATCTAAGCAACATGCCAATTAGGTGGAGACCCTCTAAACCTATTCGAACGTTCATTGATGAACACGACTATACATATTTTAGAGACAGGAATCGTTATTGTGAACGCAGAGTCTTTAATGATAAGGGCCGATTTAGCAATCAAATACCTAAAGACAACGAGCGCGAGATATACGACGTTGAGGGGACCTTAGTGGTTCAAAGGCAACTCTTATCTAAGCTAGCCGCGGTTGAAAATCAAGTGACTGGAGAATCTGAAAACAGTGTGCACCGAAGGCGCATTGAGGCTCTTAAAGCAGACACGGTTCAAGCGATACAAAAGACTTGGAATCAAAGTAGCCGGTCTATAACTAAAGGTCGGTCAATATATGCTTTTTAGTATCCTTAGTAAAAGTGTATCATAGCTTTACTATCTACTATACATAGAAATATAACTTTACAGAAATGCGGTATATTTAACAGCATAGATTATATTAAAAAAATATAAGAAGGCAAGCAGTCTCTTAGCATATATAAAACTCCCCCCAAGATCTCCGAGATAGAAACGAAAATAAATGTATTTGGGAAATCTTAGAATACATCAAATAACTGTATATGTAGCATTAAGCAATAGGCATCTATAGTTGAAATCGCACGCGTAGGTGTGGGGTGTGTGTTGATCACAATTACGTATATTGTTCTTACTATCTGCCGTTCTTATTTCACTAAAGTGTATAGTTATCGCCTCTTCTTATCCAGAAATTGCATTATTGTAGTCGTTACATTGGGCTATTGCTTTGGCTTGATTGAAGTTATTGCTTCTATGGCCTTGCAAATGCTGTGATATCATGTCTTACTATAAAGTAAAGAGATCTACTCCAAGTATATAGGCTAACGAAGGTATAGAGGCGGCTATTATATATAGAGCCTTATATACTAAGGTCTCCCAACTACTATCTCTTAGAAGTGAGATAGCAGAGGAAGAAACACTTGGCTGAGTAGGATTGGAGAAATTTTGCGTTGAATTGGTTGCGTTATTCCATAGAGGTAAAGGCAAACGGAGAGATGGGCTAGTTGGAAATAGAGAGCATTGCGAACTAGTCGCACCTGTTTCAACTGGCACAGTTGCAGAAGCCGTTGTGGTTATCCCAAAGTAGCACCCGCTGGTAATGTTATCTGTCATGTTGCTCTCTTGCTGGTAGAATAACGCATTCGAAAGCCCTATAAGTAGTAAAAAGTAGAAGAGTATCATCGCCGAAGGACTGCCCTTCTTCTATAATACTGGCGCTTCTCTTTTAATACTTGTTGGTCGATTAAACTAGCAATGGACTAATTAAATGGAAAGCCATCTAGATTTATGTGGTGTGTTTTTATTAGGGCCAGTAGAAACGTGTTAACTTCTAAGTAGCCACGTATACACGGCGCAGCTATAAATACAGCTGTATGTATATAGCATATAAGTATTACTATGGATTCTATTGTCTCTAAAGTGCGTGTCGAGCTAGGTAACCTAGCTGCAACTTATGCAGCTAACAAGCACGAAAATGTTACATTGAGTCTCACTTCTGACTTCCAACGAGCCTTATTCTTTATTCTTGATAAGCGCATTCGGATTAAGGACCTTGAACAGTCTAAGGAGCTTAGAGAAAAAATGGTCCAGCTGTTTGAGGATGAGTACTCAACAGAACCTGCATGGCTATATCTTAACCAATTCAAGAAGCAGTATAGGTGTCTCGCTAAGCTAGACTGTTTATCTAAGGATGAAGCAGCGCTCTATAAGTATTCCCCTTGCCAGGAACACTTCATGTGCGAGGATCATAAGTCAAGTCCTTGCATTGCAAAACACGAGAATATAGTAGGCCAGAGATACCAGGCCAAGAATGATACGAAGAACGGGGGAAAGATTGCTGTGGATGTAGAGAATGCAAACATGGAGCGCTTGATTGGAGAGGAAATAGGCAAAAACATGGCTGGGAATGAGGAATTAGGCAAAAATGATGTCGAAAGAAGCTTTTTAGCGACTGGAGACTTGAACAAAGAGAAACAACTGAAACCTGTAGCGAGAGAAACTATAGGCATGGCAGAGTCGTCTAAAGATGTTCAATGCCCTTGGGCAGACTACTATAACTACGATATAGGCAGTTTATCTAGCGAAGAAAGTGAATGGGATGATGATGTAACGTCCGTCCCTGTGGGTCGAACATCCCTCCACAACGAACCACCAACATTGCTCAAGGACGTTACGCCCAAGCCACAGATACTTTCAGATTTAAGTACTCATTCATATGCTCTTTAGATCCACCTCT